GAAAGGCAAACACAAATAAAGTGCATTCGGTTTTGCACCATGTTGCCATAAATCTTCTCTCCATGTGAATTACAGCAACAATGTGCGCAGCTACCGAGCTGCTTCCTTAATACACTTGTGCTGCAGATGGGCTTTGTCTGTGCATGTTTTGTCAGACAGACCTGGCCCTTGCTTGAATTCTGTGTGTAATATGAGAAAAACAAGCGTTGTTTGGGTTTGTTTGGGTTTTTTTTTAAGTTACCTACTTGGCTTGCTTTTATAGCTGTCTTACTATCTTTTGTAAGCTAATTGCTGTATTTTATATTTGCATTTTTGCTGCACTATGTATTTCTGAAAGTCAGTGTGATCAAAAAGAAGGTCTGGGCAGGCACACTAAGGAGCTATTTTAACAAAGACCCCTTTGTGCAATTAAACACAGCAGTGCCATGGCCTTTGCTGGCTCAGGTTTTCAAGATACGGCACGAGTTCTTCTGAGTCCTTGTTATGACGTTGTCTGAAGAAGTCTGGTTACAATTTTTTTTTCTACCTTTTCCCAACAGGAAATCTGCTTTTTGATTAAATACATTTGCTTGGCTGTATTATCATTATTTTCTACCAGCACCAACCTGGGAGAGCAGTTTATTTAAACCCACATAAAATGTTAAACAGCCCTTATGTCCCCCTAAACTGCGACTCTTCTGACACCCGTGGGTCAGAAATAGTGTGTCAGAGAGGAGGGGTTTAACCTGCCTGACCACCTATGGAGCTGCTGCATCTTCCAGTGACCTCAGGCATCAGCTGAGCCATAGAAACTGTCCATGCGTGTGTTCCTACCCCTGAGGAATGGGAGTTAAAGTGCCTTTGCTTGAATTACCTCTGTCTGGGTGGAGCCATCCTGGAGGCTGACTGTCTGTCCGAACCCCAGCGTGATAGGGATAAAGGGTAATATTATATCCCAAGAACTCGCCTTCTGACTCAGCGTAGGGATTTCTGTGACTGCTCTGCACCTAGGAAGCAAGTGTTTCCTAGAGCGGACTCTTCTGTTTCTGCTTTTGATGTATTTAGCAAGAGTTTCCTTAAAACATTCTGTTCATCTGAAACCAGTATAAAACTCTTCTTTTTCCTTTCCCTTCATATTTCTCCTTTGTTTTAATCATTACATGGCCACCCTGTGTCTTTTTCAACATAACTGTCATGACAGAATTTCAGAGTTGCCTCTTTTCTGATGTTAACCAAATCCTCAAGAACGCATCAAGAAGCTCCGCCCCAACCACTGTCACATCCCAAGTTGCTGCCCTGTTTCTGCGGACAGATATAGGTTAATTCTCACTTGAAATCTTTATCCTGTTAATATTCGCATTTCCAAATCGTTTCAGCTGCTGTAGGACCCTGAAGTATTTTCTCTGTTCGGCACCATAGCTGGCCACAGGGTTCCGGTGCAGAGCAGGAGGAGGTGGTCTGGGGGCAAGGGCAGCCCTGCTCCAGGTGGAAACAATTATGGGAAAAGAACGTGGTCTGCACTGGATGAGTTACTGCTGATAGCTGCCAGATAAGCTAACTTAATAAAGTGGTGGCTTAATTAAGCCGCATTCCTTACATCTTGCCTTTCGTTCTGCCTGTCTGGGGCGATGCTATCAAGCAGCTACCGCTTTGCAAGATGGGGCTGGGGGGTGCTGTGCTGGTGCCCACTCTGTGTTGGGCACAGGGGGGACCTGCAGGCAATGGGACATGGGGGTGTTCCTGGAAAGCTCATCTTCTCTCTGTCTGCAAGGTGACGAGCCACAAAAGCCTGCAACAAAGGCAGATCTCCTGCTTGCCCTGTCACAGATGTGTTTATTGGTATCAAGGGTTCTATAAGGGTTTGGCCCTAAACCCCATCCTCAGACATTCAATGGTCCAGGAGCACCCTGATCCCCTAAACAGAAGGGAGTAGCTCAGCACCGCCTTGCTTCTCCTGCAGCTACCTATCAGAACAGAAAGGGTGACTATGCTTTGAGACAGTCCCTAGTGCTATGGATTTTCTCGTGGGTAAGACAAAAGCTAGACATTACAGTGATCAAATTCATGGTGCCCAGAACCCTCTGTGATTTTGGGCTTGTGCATGTTCCTGAGTGAAGATTGCATGACAATCAGAACTTGCTATATTTTCAGTATCTGAAGCAGACCATTAAAAACTGTAACAGATAAGCTGCCAGAAGCTTCTCCTTTTGGAAGCCAGATTTAAAGTTAATGAATCACTTTAATTTCCCCTTAGATCCAGGTCTAAGTGGTTGACCTTCTTGCACAGCCATGTATTTGTTTGTGTTTGATGCATGCTCACATATAGAGCTGCATAGCAACCACCTTGCTGAAAAGTTATTCAGTAGCTAAAATTATCAGTGGGGACCCCCTCTTACCTCCCATTATGTATAACAAGATCGCTGCTGTGCAACGTTGATTAGATACGTCAACCTGGAGCAGGATGTCTGAAAATGAGTATTGCTATTAAAATGCCTGTGCTAATGATCAACTCATGTGTCCATCATTTTGACAGATTTCTCTTTTAAGAACGTAAAAAAAGCTAAAGCATGCAGGAATCCCAGGGTTGCAATGTAATGTTCAGAGAAACAGGTATTTTATTTCCTGTGCATTAACCCTAAAGTAGCAGTTTCCCTGGCCAAATCATGCTGATGGCTGAAGCTTGCTATTGAGTATGGGGTATGCTAATACAGAGATCTGTAGTCTTGAATTGGGAACTGATTATCATGGGGAATTGGTTTCTGGAATGTGATCTGAAAGTAGGGCATCTTTAAGTGTGATTTGAAGTTTTCATGGTGTGGAAAAATCTTCAGGTATTTAGAGAAAATACTTCCAAATCTCCCTTACAGTAAAACCTGAGAAAAATTCAACAAAAAATTGAAAAGGAGACTGAAAACAAGGAAATTATTTCTTAAAAACAACACATCGCCCTGCGGAACTCATTGCTGCAAGAAGCCATCGAGGAGATGGATTTCAGCACCGGCTGGGATGTCTGCCAGGGCAGCACAATTTTCCAGTTGCTTTAACTGGAGCAACCCCCGCTGAGGCTACGCAAGGCTGTGCTTGCTTCGGGGTGCCAGGGCTGTATTTAATGGCTGTACCTCGGAGTGTGACGGGTTCTCAGTGTGTAGCCGTGGGGCAGGGGGTTGATCAGGGCAAGTGGCTTGGCTATCAGGAGAAACCAGGAGAGCAGGTAAACGTGTAGGTTAGCCAGGAGAAAGCCAACTGGTCTGTCCAAAAGCCATTGCCAGCCAAGTCAAGAGGAAGGTTCCTACATGGTTCCCACCCTTACCCAGGAGCAGGCTGTGCCGGCTGAGGTTTGCATCTGTTGCCACAAGCCACTCCAAGGGTCCTAAGGATTCTACGCCTGAAAATCAAGTGGGAATTCCTAGGGAGAAGGGTAGAAATGATGAAAGCTCTTCTCCCTTTCTGGTTAGTTCTGGCTGGTGCAACCACACAGGTCGGCCTCTCCCTTTTCCCACCTCCCAGCCTGCTCTCGAGCCAAGCTGTATCTTCATCTGAAGAGCAGCTACAGACAAGCCTTTATCAGCCTCTCTTCTTCCGCAGACGGGAGGAGATGAATGTGCACTTGGAAAGCCATCGGCATGACTTGCAGCATACAACAGCCTCCCTGGTGCACCTTTGAACTCATTCCTCCTGCATTTGTTTGTCTTGCAGATAAAACTTCACAGCAGTGTTTGGAGAAAAGTCTAATGAGGGACCACTGTTTGCATAACAAAACAAGGCTTCCTCTTCAGATGTTCAACCTTCATTAAGTGTAATTTATATTCCAGCTAATCTTTGGAAGAGGGTAAAATATGGAGCCAAAGTTCGTTTCTACATAGTTTGGAGTAATGCATTGTTTGTTTTAAGTGGTCAGCTGCAACTGACAGTTGATTTAAATTCAACATAATGATGATTTGTGATGGCTGAGTGTTGTCTAGGGGAGTGTTGTGTCATTGACTGCCATGGCTTTAGCACTCTTCTGCATCAGTTATTGAATTAAAGGATAAGACCAAATGGAAGGTTTCCCAGTTTTGCAGATATTTCAGCACGTCCACAAGGCATGAAAATCTGTGAATTTGTAAAATACAGGTTTGGAGGTTTTTTTCTCTCAGATTCATGTAGACTTGATAAAATAGTGCACAGAAGAGCAGTTTGCTTGTCTTAGGGCAGTTCTGGTAGCCACCACCATGGGACCCTCTGAAGGTCACCAAGCCCTTGCAGCAAGTAGCTCTGAGGGTGATACAGGACACAGCTGGTTGTAAAGGCTCCTCAGTGCTGTTGGGAGTTCCGGTGACTTGATGTGGTTTGCTGCCTTTCTAAGCAAAACAAGCAGATAGAGCTGAACACGGAAATGTCATTGCAAGCCGGTGTGTAAGAACTGTTAATTTCTCAGCACTCAGGCTTTGTTCATATCATAGGGGTGTACAAAATATCTCCGCCTATTGACTCTTCACTGCAGTTTTGTCCCCCGGCTGTATAAGATACTCCTCCTTGCTCCAGCTGAAATACTCAATGCATTTCACTTATCACCTTCCAGGTTTATTAAAAGATGAGAAATGACTGATGACATTTATCTTTTGTGTGCTCCTCACTGAGATTCAACCCTTCCTCCTGGTTTACACTGAAATGACGGATGTTTGAAAATGCTCTTCAGCGTACCATGAAAATTATGGCCTGAGTTGTGTATATGGACAGCATCAAGGTGTGCTGCATCCTTTCAGTGCCAGGGAGCAGGGATTTCAGGAACTACTTGTGATGTTGAGTGGGTCAGCAGCGGGCTACACAGCCCCAGGCTCCTCAGGCTGTCCTCTAAGATGCCTCATGGACTGAGTGGTGGGTTTCCACACTGCGTTCTTTAATCCCCAGCTGCAAAGCTCAGGATCCTCATCTTGTTTGGTTAATCACGTCCATGATTTACCCATGACTGTTTTTAAAGGCAGCACCAACCTTTAGAGAATATATTTATTTATTCATTTATTTATTTTATTGTTTTTCAGGAAAAAGTGCTGTAAGGGTTTTAAGTTTGTTCTTGGACAGTGCATCCCTGAAGGTATGTGATTTCACTGTTATTACTCCTCATGTCCCCATGAGTTTGGCTTTCCCTGCTTGACCTTTCTCCACACTGCCGGTTTGGAAGAGCACCCTGATACAACCACAGGCTCAGCAGTATCTCATGTGTCAGTGGGGAAACTGCTTCCAAAAAATTGGGAAAATAAAAAGATCAGCGTCTTCCAAAAGTTTTCATGCCAAGCCTTGATCCTGCCTTAAGTACACATGGCTGCACGGATCCTCTACCATGACCTCTCTGCAAACAGAGGAGCGCGTTCTGCTCTGGCTAGGTACACGGGAGCCCTCTGTGCACCCAGGAGCACGCCCTTCCTGGCTGATGGCTTTCACCATGCACCCCTTGGATATGGCACAGCCAATTTGGCTTGTAGGTCCATGGGGAATGGGTGACTTGTTGGGTTAGTCCTGCCTTTAGTTGCCCATTCCCCAAAGACATCAGTGAGGGGACAGCATCGCCAAACTGTCCCTCTGCCTCTCCTGGTCGTGAGCCTGGCTTGCTTGTCACCAAGGGCAGAGGAGACAGGGAGTTACTTGGGATAGTTCATGCAGTAGTGAAAAGGGAATGATCGCCACCTGGCAGAGGGCAGCTGCCCATACACTTTGCAAAGGCAGCACAGCATCACAGTGCTCAGAGGTCGCTGCAAGGAGATCTCATTTAGGAACAGGCTGAGCTCTGCCTGCCTTAACCTTTGGGAAGGCCCCTGTTGGGTCTACCCAGCCAATGGCTTCACTGAGCAGTAGCAATGTGACTCCTTCAGTTGCTCCCGCTGCTTTGCCTGATTCGGATAAAACTGGCTCTGAAGTTATAAGAGAAGGAAAACTGACAGGCAGAAGCAAACGTCCAGAGATAACTAGCCAATAAACCTTGTTTTCTCCAAGAAAGCAAGTTAAAAAGTTGGTTTATGGTAATACATCCCTCTGTTTGATGACATATGGAAAGCTTCGAGTTGACCTGAGAGTTATCCCAGCTTGGCATGGTGATGTTTTGAAAAGAAGAGGGACAAATTAACACACTAGAGACAGTCAGCCGGTTTTTGAGTTACAGTCTCTAGCCAACAGGAATTAAAACCCAAACTCTGATCCTGATGCTTTTGTCTTTTTTTTTTTTTTAATTTATATCTTCTTTGCTGCTGGCTGGAAATACTCGAACCCTGGTTGAAAAAAAAAAAAAAAAGGGAAAAAATCCCACATCTTCTCAAAACAGGAACTGTGCATTTGCTGCTTCCTTGGGAAGACGCGGCTCACTGTGCCAGCCTGAGAGCTGGAGAGCTGGGCAGGGTTTGAGTGAAATCGGTGGTCTCATCCCATGGTTTTGCAGTGAGTTTTGTCTCAGTGTGTGTGGCATGAGATGGCAGCTCCTGTGTGAGACAGACACTTGGAGGAGACAGTTGGGCTGTGTTGTACGAGGCTGTTGTGCGTGTAGAAGGCAGAAGCACTGAATCCTTTCAGGGTGGAGGGAAGCAGGACTCCACAGTCTGGCCTCCCACTTTCCTATGGGTTATAACAATTTTACACGCTGGTTACTCACTGAATATAATGGATACCGCAGGAGAAGTTATAAGAGAAAAATAAATAGAGAACCATGGCAATAAATTGTTTTAGGCTTCTAATTTTCATCTCCTGAGGGTTTAGGTGATTATGAAAACTGCTTTTATTATGTACCAGCTGACCTCATTTAATCCTGTCTATTAACTGCACCTCAGTAACCTGAGAGTTTCTACCACTAATTGAAATTCTCTGCTAGCTGTGGCTTCTCTCCCTTTGTATCTTCATTCCCCCCTGTTTAAATTGATCTATATTTTCCCTTGAACTTCAGAGGCCACAGGAATTGCTGTAACATCTGAGACGATCCTGGGCTGTTTGTATAGGGATGAGAAACAATTCAGTGAAGCACTCAGTTACTCTGTTACGAGACATCACTTGGCTCTTCACACATTGTTTTGGCATAATCTTGACAGAATAGATGTATGAAATGCATATCTCAACACAGGCACATAAATACATTACAGATGTGAGTTTATTAAAGCACATCTGCACCTTTTAATCCAGTACTGGCAAGTCAAAGCCATGAGAAGTAGTTTCAGCACTCTCTTCTGCATGATTTAGCAGTGGCTGCAGGGAAGAGCATTGGAAGAGGGATAGACCTTCCCTTGTCCACCCTGTTACAGCTGCCTTGGGAAAACAGCAATCTCCTTATTGAACAGATTTTATTTAAACAGGCTCGTTTCCCAAAGGCTCGTGTCTTTGTCCATGTTCATCTTCGGGTTTTGTCCTGTTATTTCTCATCTGCCCTTGAAAAGCAACATAAATCGGTGCAGTCCAGTATGAGTCCAGGCCTTCAGGTTCTGCATTTCACTTGCTTTGGACTCACCTTCTCTCTCTGGGTTTCAGCTGCAGGACCAGGGAGCAGTGATCCTCAGGAAACGTCAAGAGGATTTTTTCTTTGTGTGTCTGATTCCTCCCATAACATCTCCATCCACTCTACCTGCCAGCAAAGCAGGTCAAAAGAAGAGGTGCTCACCCTTTTTTCCTGAATGTTCCCATTCCTCTTTGCTTGGGAGACTCACAGCTCCAACCAGGTCCTGTCTCATGGAGTCACCAAGAGGAAAGCAGGGACAGATGTAGTCTGAAACAGCTTCTTTTGGAGAGCACCCTCCCTACCACTGTTTTGTTACCTGAGTTTCTTGGCTGCGCATTAATTCAGAGCAAAATACTCTATGACAGGCAAACACTGATCAGATCTGCTCTTTCCTCACTAATGCTATTTCAGAAATTTCCTTGATACAACTTTCCATGCTGCGCTGTCATTCCTGAGTTCACTGAAAAGTACCTAGAGGCATTTGTTACTCTGCTTTCGAGGGGTTTTTTTGTATTTTCCTAAAGTCTAGAACAGCCTGATCCTCATTGTGTGGATTTGATACGCCCTCAAACCACATTTCTTAGACTGGGCTGGCAGACAGGAGGCTTAAACGTGGCAGCGTGCATGCATCCTCGGTTCTGCAGAGCACACGGAGGTGGTGCCACAGCTTTTGCCCCATTTCATTCCAGTTGTGAGAACTGTTCCTGGGGCAGTGGTGCTACCTCGGACCAAAGCCCCAGGGGCGCACAGCTCCCTGACGTGGGACTTGCTCGCAGCCATGGTGTGATTTGGGTTGACTGTGTGGGAGCCTCTAGGAGGGAGATATCCACCTCATGGACTCTTCCCTAGCTTTGCACGAAGGCAAATGAAGCAGTGGTCTTGATGGAGCTCTGCTAAGGTGAATGCAAAAAATGTATTTAAAGAGTAGCTGTGTGAAGTATGATAAAAGAGAGAAGATTAAGAACTGGGGTTGTTTAGTCTAGAGAAAAGGAGGCTAAGGGAAGATGTGATAACAGTTTTTAAGTATGTGAAAACTTTCTGCAAGAGGGGAAGTAAACTGTTCTTCATGGTCAAGAAGAAGAGGACAAACAATACTTGTCTTAAATGTCTGTAAGGGGAGTTTGGATTAGAGATGAGTAAAATGCTTCATCTGTGAAGATATTTAATCTTGGGCATAGACTTCATGGTGGTGGGACATCTCCATCCCCCAGGGATTTCTAAGTACAGGTTAAATTAATGTCTATTAGAAAGGTTTACACATAGCTAATCCTACTTGTGATGGAAGATGGTCCCTTCCAGCACTGCTTTTTAAGATGTTATTAGGCGACATCTATCTATTCAGGGAAGCTCCGGGAGGACAGAGCTTGTTTTGTCTCTGCTCTAAACAGGCTGAACATGGCATAGGCCAAATCCAGCATCTGGATTTGGGCACGCTGGCTAAGGAGCAGGCATGTTCATCTCAGCCCCGGGTAGCCTGGTGTGTTCTCTGTCTGATTTAATTTCAGTGAGGAATGAGAATTGGAACCACGCCCAGTAAAAACACCGCTAATGTTTTGTATGTGGGGCTATTTAGTGGAGCCAAATGTAACGGGAGTTGACAGCTACAGCATCCCCTAAAAAGCCCAAACTACCCCCCAGGCTGACCGTCTCTGCAGGCAAGGACCGTGTTTGTCTTCTATGCTTGTACAAGGCTCTGCGCTGTTTGACCCTGGCTCTTTCTGGGAGTCCTGGCACTGCCGTTTGCTGCCACAGCACTGCGGGCAGACTGCAAGAGTTAAAATCAACACACTTGTGGATTAAAAAGGAAAGAAATGATGCCTGCTATTCAAAAAGTGACAAGCACAACGGAGGAAATTCTTGGCACCACTACAGTAATATTTTTTGGTCTAAGGGGCTCTGGTTTGACATACGGCAGCTTGTGAAGTCTCATTTGGTGCTTTTCTGTACGCTGGCACGCTGTCACTTTCATCCCCAATGCTACACATGGCTCTATATATTCCCTACAGCAAATGTGGTTTCACTTGCTTCACCATCTATTAGTTCATGTTAATCATTTGGAAAAACCTTCGTACCCAGAGATGTCTGCTAGTCGTTAGTGTGAGTCAATAATGAGTTTGGGTTTTAATTATTTTATAGTGTTTATATGGAAACACAGTACATTGCTGGGAACTCAGTTGGAGCAATTAGGTTTGGTTTAGATGTATTTGGTCTGAAGCAAGGACAGGCTATTTCTGCTGCGGCCCCCAGGACCCAAGTTGCTGGCGGATCAAAGTGACAACCACATGGTCCTGTGGGAAGGATGATGTTCCTCTGAAACCGTCACCAAATCTGCCACTTGCTTTGGCATAAGACCCAACCTTTTGCAGGGTTTGCCTGAGCTGCTTTGGAGACCAAACTCTGCTTCAGTGTCTGTCTTCTCCTGGCAAACCTTCCCCACGGGGCTGCGAAGCCCTTGCACCCACAGCTGGGGGCTGCCTGTTACCCCCCAGCCCTGCTACCAGCTGATGCCAGGGGCTGAATGCAGCCCCGGGCAAGGCAGGGAAGTGGGCAGACCCTGTTTTGCCCCATTGTCCATTCCCTGGGCTTCAGCTCTGGTGCTACATGGCAGTGAAACCAGAAACAGATTCGCTCTCCTTCTGGTTTCAAACGGGGACTTCAGTCTTTTGGGATTTCACTGACAAGCCCAGCCTGCAATTTACCATGCCCTAATCTGCACATTGCTATTATTAAGAGTGATGGTGGTTTTGTAACAATGTGTTCTTTGCTAGGAGGGTTATAACTGGCTTTGAATGGTTCTGTGCGATTTTAATTAACTTCTCCTTATGGTACACTTTCTGCCCAGACTTGGCAGTTAACCTTGCCACATTTCACAGCATTCTGCATAGAAAACATTGCTATCAGCATTTAAAAATTTGTGGAGGGGAAAAAAACCAACAAAAATCTTTTAGGTAATTTAATATTTCTGTGAGAAAAATTCTTAAGTTCTGCAAACTGGGAAAGTGCCCCTTGCTTAAAATCCAACTTTAGGAAATAGTCTAAGTACTGTGAGGCTGTGAGTAGCAATTACAGTTTTACAATCTCACTTTAATTCTTTGCTTATGTCTCATGAATGTTTGATTTCTATGTTCCTTCCATCCTCAAAACCAGTGTAACTTGACTTCATTACTTAGCGGAGAGGTGAAATATTTGCTGTCATAGTATCATCCAGCTACTGCCATTGGTATTTTCCTAACCGTGTTTTTCTCTCTCTAGACTATGATGTCTGTGCCGAAGCTCCCTGTGAACAGCAGTGCACCGATAACTTCGGACGAGTCTTATGCACTTGCTACCCTGGGTACCGCTATGATCGGGAGAGGCACAGGAACAGGGAGAAGCCGTACTGCCTGGGTGGGTAGAAGCACGTGCTGAGCTCACCTCTGGTTAATGATGCATCCTGCTCCCTCAGTTCTTTTAAGAGTCAGTTTAGATCTGAAACCTTTCTTATCCTTGTTACTATTACAGAAGTAGTGTGGGTTTTAACTATGTTAAGGATTGTTTCCCAGAAGTAAGAGATCTAAATCCCCTGAAATCATTAGGAGGTAGTACTCAAAACAAGACTTCTGCATCCAAACACTTTGAAGTGTTGGGCTGATGTAATTTTCCCTTTATTAATTCCACCTGCAGGTTTTGAGACATATTTGGGGTTTTGGCCTGAGACGAGGGACATGATTGTAACAGTAACCCTCAAAGCACTATGACTGGGCCTAATTACGAAAATGAATTCTCAGAGTTTGTTTCAGATGGCCAGTATCTAATTCAGGACTGATCATTTGCATGTGGTCCTTGTGTGGCTAGTCCTGTCCTGCACTGCCTGGTTTGCTGTGCCAGAGAGCAAAGGTTTGCAGGATCGAGCTTTGCTTTGTGAGCTTTTCAGTGCAAATAAATAGTCAAGTGATGTTCACTGATAAAATGACAGGGGTGTTAGTACCAATAGTGCAGTTTGCACAGCTCAAAGCAGCGGCAGTGCTGCAATTACTCACTTAACCACAAAAATCTCCTGATACCTTTAAAGGAAGTCTTTTATTGTACTTGAGGTCTGAAACTTACGGCTTTAGGACATTGTGCACCCTTGCTCCTCTCCAGATATCGACGAGTGTGCCGCGAGCAATGGAACGCTGTGCTCTCAGATCTGTGTCAACACCGTGGGCAGCTACAGGTGCGAGTGCCACGAAGGCTATACGCGGGAGGAGGACGGCAAGACGTGCACCAAAGGAGATAAAGGTATATGCCGGTGCGGACTTAAAGGTCCTGGACCACAGGGACGTCTAAAAGGTTGAGCTGTCCTAAAGAGGAACTGCTGCCTATGTTACACTTGGAGCTGGGGGTCTGAGGCTGGGATGTCACCGACATCCTGGGAGAGCCAGGGTGGTTGACTGGGCACCCGAGCGCAGTCCTGCCGCACGCTCTCCTCCTCCATGGTTTATGAGCTGCGCACACAGCAGTAAGTCAGTAGTCACATCTATAAACGAAGACTGCGAGTACATTGAAGGATTGAAAGCGTCTCCCCACGGAGAGGCAGAACGGTGAAACTTGCTGTTACTGCCTCGGTTAGACCATTTCTGCTGGATCCAACAGCTAAAAGCCACATTTTGCTTCCATACCAACCTGGATTATATCTAGTTTGCAGTCCAGAGCTCAGGAGACATAGGAACAAAAATTTCCAGATGCTGACCCTTTTGAGCCTTCATTAACTTCATCTGCTAATTAAATTAATTTCAGTGAGTTTAATTTGTATTTACATGCCGACACCCGAGAATAACAAATGGCGCTGGGTTGGGTGGTTGGTGCCTCGGGGCACTCAGAGACTCAAAAAAGGTGTGCCTGGGAATTCCACATACCTTTCAAGCACTGCTTAAATCGATGGCTAAATTATGCTGAGTAACACCGAATCCTGCTGACCTGCAATTAGTCCGTGTGTCTCGTGACTGCGTGAGACACTTTTCTGGTTTTATGAAAGTAATATGGGACGGGAAAGAGGTAAAAGTGAGGGCTTGTTCTGGCTTTTCTCCGTTGGTTTCAAAGTGTACATGTGTGCTGTGTATAAATGATTTTAAAGTTTTTGACCTCCTCCTAGTTATTAAATCACAGCGTTTAGAGTACTGCAGATTACATACTGATATGACAATTTAAAAAGAAAGGAGGAAGGGGAAAAACCTGTGCTCTGGGGAAAAAAACCCAACCTTTTGATGAATGGTGACTTACCATAGATTCATCAGTTAATGCCTGAACACATGTATCATTGGGTGCTCCAAATACCACTGGATGGCCAGAGCAATTTATAATTTTGATTTTCCTCTGAAAATGTGTAACTGGAGCCACTCCATGAGCTTTAATTGTTCATTGTAGTTTAAAAATGTTTTTATTCCTTATAAGCGTGGTGGGGTCATAAAGGAAAGGGGTATAACCTATATAATCCCCATGCCAATAGGTATTTTAGTTAACTCTTTCTCTGGCTAGTTCAGATTTCCTGACAGGGTAATACCCAAAGCATTCAGGATAACCAATCATTCAAAATATTCAAGGCTGTGGAAATAATTCTAATATTTTAAAAACACCAATTTTACACTGACTGTACACGGCACATCAAAGTGTCAGTTCCAGTAATTAATCTGGAATTAACTAGCCACCATCTCTCAAGACATTCCCCACATTAGCTGCATGAAGCAGCACTTTCTGCTCCATCACCCCGCCATACTCCGAGTTAACGTTACTAATTGCCAGACCTCTGGTGCAAATGCAAGAGGAGCTATTTCACAGGGCTTGTGTCTGCAACTCATCCCAAAGAAAATGAAGTTTTTCAGCAGCCAAGGGCTGCAGCAACTCACCACCCCGTGGTCAGACCCAGCTCTGCCCACAGGAGAGCTCACCGTCCACACTGGAACTGCTTCCTAATAAACAGATTATTTGCCTTTCGTGGTAGCTGGATCACTTAAACTTTATTTTATAACTTAGCATGAGAGACATGAAAACACATGTATCCCTCTCCAGCTCTAACCACGTTGCATGTTTCCCAGGAGATACTATTCACGTTTTCATTATGCCACGCCTCAAGGCTGCAATCCAGGCACTTTTTTTTGGCTCTGTAAGCGGGCTTGACTGGGAGCTTTGGGTTTGTTAGTGGGCACAAGAATAGGGAGCATTTTTCCTGCATCCTCAGTCATGTTTCATTTGTCGGAGACAATACAGCTACTCGCGCAGAAGTAGGCAAATGAAACCATCTCAGCAGGCAGAGCTCAGATAATACAACACAGATGATCAACTCAACAGCCTCCATGCGAAGACCGCCCGTGGCACAGCTCCCCACAGAGCTCTCCCCCGTCAGTATCTCCTTCCCTTCCAGCATCAGCAAGACAGAGTCTTTGAGCGCATTCAAAGAAAACACATCGCTCCCCCGAGCAGATCTCTTATCGATAGGCAACACGGGGCTCACCGGTGTCTCGCCAAGATGAAAAGACCCCCGTCAGGACAGCAACGTCACATGTGAGCGAGGCTTTGTGTTTTGGAAAACCTTCATAAAATGGGGCTTGTTTAAGCCTTCTCTGAAATAATTTTAGTTTCCTGGTGTAGGTCTGTGCAATGGAAAGAACTGACCCTGGTAGGTGACGTATGTTCCTGCACCGCACGTGGGTGGCTCCATCTAATTTCTTCCTACCACCTCTGTCCTGTCCGAGATGACTCTGGGCTTTGTCCGTTCTTTATTCTGGCTTTAGTTGTAGTTTGGTCCTGATACAGGATCAGATGGGGGTAGAGCGAATGTTTGATGGATGACTCCTTCCCTGGGCAAATCATCACCTCTGTCTGGTATGAGTTAGGGGGATTCCACCTCTCTCCTGGGACACAGCTCACGCTCGCCTATATGACGCTGCTGGACTTCTTCCCCTGACAAGTCAATCCAACTGGATTTGCAGAAATCTCACTGGTATGATATTTCCCAAACATTAGCTGACCCCCCCGACATTTATCTCCATGTATTGTTACAGACCTGTTTTATCTATACTTGTCAGCCCCCTGTGCCACATCCTTCTGGAAGATAAACTGGATTTTACAATGCAACACGAGGCCAAATTCACCACTCCTTAATCTGCATGTAATTCCACTGATTCTAGTGGGATTGCATTAGGTTTCAAAAAGCAGAGGCCCTGGCAGTTTCTCCCTATGACTGCATGTTGCTTTCAGCATCATTTCTCAACACAGTATGAGGGAATCATATGGTAAAATAGCTACTAAAAGAAATTTTGGTTAAGTACCAGACCTAAACTTATTGGAGTTTAGGAAAAAAAGGGCATGTTTTCTAATAGGTCTATATATGTGCATCTGTAAATCCTACACAGGTCCAAAAATGGGCATGTCAAAACAGTGATTTCTGTAAAGGAACCTGAAAAATTGGAGACAGTGGAAGAATTCCATGAGGGAGCCACAACACTGACTTGCAGTCAAGAGAAAGAGAAAGTTACCTTATAGAAATATCAAGAAGTGTCTTGATGACAGCATAGCAATTCCTTGTTAAGGGGAAAAAATCCAAAACCTAGATGGTGCAAGTTCTTTAATCTGTCAGAGAAAGGGCTTATGGGCAAAGAGGTTTTAGGAGGAGTGAGGAGCAGTGAGGAAGGAAACCAGCAGATGCTGTGTATCCAGGTATCTTCACACAGATGCTGGAGTCCCCCTGGAAGGCATTGTGGCCAAATAGCCTTGGAGCCAGCATAGCAGCGGTTTGGTGAAGTTTATTATATTTTATGTGGAGTTCATCAGGAAACCCCAAGAATTAGCTTGGACTGCAGCTGTGGGAGCAGGCAGCTGATGGTGGGAGGAAAAGCCCCAAGCCTTTGCCTCCTAATGTTCTGATCTTCTGATGTATGCTAACACACCTTAATGCTGCTGGTCATTCCAGCATCTTGCCTTTACAGCCCTCTCCTACCTGACTGGGAGATAAGAGAAATAATAAATCTTTGTCTTCTAAAAGCAAGCATACCTGACGTGGCGTTATATCCCATGGACTAAGTGTACCGAAAACCAGGTTGTGCGCCGGTGGTCCACAGGTGACCATCTGATGATGCAATATTCCTTACTGGACCCTGCAAACATTTAAAGTCAAGTCCAATACTAAATCTTTAGTATTGGAAACTTCTGTTTCTGTTTAAAGTGATGCAGATATTTTCAAAATCAATACATGGCTCTGACAATATGAAGGACGTGGAAGCACGTGTCCAAGTGAGAAGTGTAACACAATAGCTGAGCGCACTGTAGTTGATCCTTTTTGAAGATTTTGAAAGTTTGCTGGCTTTAACCAGGAGCACCTGCCGAATTTTTCCATTATGGGACAATCTCTGAAAGGTCAATGTTCAAACATGCCCAGTTACCCTTCCAGGTAACATCGTACAAGGCCACACATCATATGCAGAGCCTCAAAACACTTGATGCTTCTCAACAGCTCGACATGGAAGGAAAAAAGCTCACCTAGAGTTTTGCAGTATGTGTCACCCTGTGTTTTGGGAACCACATCTCTCTTTAAATGGACATCTGTTAAAAGAGTGCTTGTTTGTTTGTGATGCAGAAATGCTTCACTGTGTTTGGGACTGGGAAAAGGACAAAAATAACATTTGCGATATCTCTTACAGTTTGAATTGTTTAATGGATTCTTGAAAAGATCCCACTCATGCGTAGTATCAACAGGTGTGACCCTTTCTCTTGCGTGGATTTAAATCCCTGTCATTAATCTCAATCCGCATCTCCGCTCAGCCTGATTTCATCGCATGGAGGAATAACCGGTGATGACAAAGAGCAGTTTGTGCAAAGTGAATTAAACAACCGTATTGTGAGGGGTTTTACTGTAATTTATAGCATATGAAAATATGCCCTTCAGGGGACTGTAAATCAGTTCAGATCTATAGGGTTAGTCTGCCCAACACACAAAGACAAAAGAAGGGGTGTAAACTTTTTCAGGTATTAAAAAAAAAGAAGTTCTTTGGGGACTGTTAACTGGAAACAGCTGCTTTAAAAATGAGCTCAGAGCTGTCCCTGCAAATTTTCTCAGCCTTACACAGAATTTCACAGTCAAAGCATTAATAATGGCAAGGTTCTGTCTTCTTTTCATAGTCTGGAAACGTAACAACCTTCGAGTTGCTTTTGCAATCACTATCTGAATATCTCTGCTTTCGATCTTTATTCATTGGAAACTGCTTTCTTTCAGCTGCACTTCCTGAGAAGTCTGAAATTGTGGCAAAATCAGGGACATGCTGTGCCTCTTGTAAGGAATTCCATCAAATAAAGCAGACGGTTTTACAACTGAAGCAAAAGGTATGAACATTGATCAGTCGTGTCTTTACCAAACCTGCCTGTGTTATGACAACTGAGGTTAAATTTGTGTTGGAGCTGTTGTTGCCATATGGTTCTTGTGTCCACAGAGATGATGGCAACATATCTTAAAATCATCTAGGAATGGCATCTCCTCTTTATGCTCCTGTATGGCTTGTAAGCAGATTGCTGACCACACTCGTGGAGCTGTGTTACCAAGCTCGTGGTAGAGTCCGGCGAACATCCATCCCAGTCCGAGCCCAGGTTTCTTGGCAATCACCGCTGGCCTCAGCGTTCATTCATTCCGAATGCACAGGATTTTGGACTTGATCCACTCTTAGTGTATGCAAGCGTGAGACATTCTGCAGATGCAGCAATGTGGGAGAACACGATTTTGCATTAACAGGGTGCTGATACAAGATTCTTGCCAAATAGCAGGTGTGTGGCTGAACAAAAACATCACTAGCGGATACATTAGCTTTGATTTTTTTAAAACAGAAATTCCCCTCAGCCCCAACCTTTTTTGTTTTCAACTGTGTCCTTACAAGTAGAAATAATGCACTTAAAAACTTCCTCTGGCCTTTAATTTTAATTTCTTCTATACGCGGCCTCCTTTTTTGCTTGGGGGGGGATTGAAATAACCCAGAGACCTAGCCCAGGATTTGGTGACCAAAGTGCAGGGGTGCAGGTGTAATGTCTTTCCTGGTGACGCTTCCTTCAAACATTGTGGTTCTCTGAAGTAGAAATGTTCTGCAGGAATATTCTCAGGAATATTCATGGAATATTATCTCAGGAATAATTACATGTTGACAGGCTGTAATTATTTCACCCAGTGTGCTCATTTAATTCCATTGTGTCAAAACACAACTTGGTATAGTCACTTGTTGCCTTTAATGCAATTCATACAATGGAATTTGTATCAGGAAAAAGACATCTGCTTCACTAAAACGAAACACAGTGAGGTTTGAGATACTCTTTATGACAGAAATCTCATAACGTCATGTTTTCCTTCTGAATCAATATGAAGATAAATGTGGAAGCGACAGAATTCCATGTGTGATGGAAATGGTGTTTTCCAGACAAACAATAGCAAACAGGTTCAAAAAGGATCTGTGCTTTTGAGCAGCTGTTTGTCTAGCCTCAGTCTGTGATGCTGAGCAGGCCCCATGATCCCCAGGGAGGGGTTTGGGGTCACACTGTTGGCCAAGTCATTTGCTGCAAGAATTGGTGACAACCAATGGCTTCAATTAATGGAAAATTGTCTGTGTCTTAACTGCCATTGTTTATGTGCCTGTGTTCAAAATTCACTCCTGAAAAACTAACACCTCTGATACCTGTCGCTGTGGGCACTTGTTCAGAAGCCATCCTGATAGCCAAGTCCTGTCATGATCCATAGTCTAAATTTCCCCCAAGTATATTCCTAGTGGGACTTGATCCATTTGGCATCCTCAGAGGGAGCCCACTGGGTTGTGCCTCACACAAACAGAGCTGGAAGAGATGGTCCCCTGATACCCTCAGCATTTTTTATCCCACAGAGAGGAGAGCTTTTGTCCATGCTGAGGAGAGAGCTGGCCTTGTGCTGCTTCTCTGCAGAGGGACACAGGAACCTTCGTGCTTCACCAGCTGCTCCCCATGGCCAAGTTCTTCTGGGGAGTACGTCTCTCAATATCTGCAGTCAAAGTTGTTCCATTTTGCCCATAAAAATTCATTTCTGTCTGCCAGAGAGGCCGTTTATGGGAATGAGTCAGTTTTGTGGTTAAGGCTTTCAGATTTTATGGACTTCATGCAAAATTATGTTTAGCCTGTGGAGGATCCAATCCAGAAGACCCTAGGACTGGGAATTGGGGTTTACTTTTGGAAGTGGGAGGTGTGGTTTTATGTCTTCTTAGGAAAGGACAAGGTGAACTCAAGTCCTGCTACCCCTAGTGATGGCACTAATACCTTTTTAGAGGATTGCAAGATCTAGGACAGAGTAGTTCTAGGTTCAGGAACAGAAAGTCAGCCCACATGGTAATTCAGTGGGATGCACTGTCACGATATCCTAGGGGGCTGTGAGCAGTCCTAGGTTGATCTCCAACCTTGCCGGAAGGAGGAAAAGTGGAAAGCTGGAAAACTAGACAAAAGATATCTGACACACTGCCAACAATTTAAAAAAAATCAAGTGAGCAGTTCAGCACTTGGAGTTGGAGCATTACTAGATCCCAATGCACAGATTTGTTTAAACATCTTAATCAGAAAACCGTGTTCCACATCAATCCTGTCAAGCACTGTCAAAGTCATCTAAACCACAGATCTCCTAGAAACCACCCAAAACTCCAGATGTAGCATGCAACACTGTATATTGGGAGTCTTGTTTCTAGTACTGTCTTTCTTTAAAAGTCACTCTCACTAATATTTGCACGCACATGAAAAAAGAAATATTTTCCAAGGGCCATTATTATTTGGAGCTGTCGGTAGAGAAAGCCAAAGTCACTCTGGACCAGGATCCTGGTTCAGTTAAAAGGTGAAATAGAAATTAGGCCAGTGCGTATAGCCAATCCTTAAGAGGATGGGAGTCAACATGAAAAACACATGGTTTGGCCCCGGTGTATGTTACAACCATTTTCTGGCCAAAAGAGATCAAGGAGCAGTGAGATAGACCAGAGCCTGGGTATTTTGGCACTCCTCGAGTATGCTTCGGCTGACTCAGTGGGGAGCATGTGTAGCTGCATTCACAGCAGCTATGTGGGGTTTTTTTTAACTTACTAAGTTGTTAAAACAGCCTTGCTGGCAGGAACAAGGCAGTGTTTAAGCAATAGAAAAGAATACACTTCCAAATCCTCTTCATGAGGTCTTCACCACTAAACGCACCTTTCTACTCCAGCCTGGCCATTTGCAATACAACCTGAAGAGTACTCAGGGCAGGGACTATAGGCTAAGTGATGTCTGTTTATCAGCTGGGATAGCAACCGATCCCCAGAATAGGATCTGGTCAGAAATGTAAGTACAAACTCTAAAGAGGACATCAATTCATGTGTCACTCAACTGTGGCCACCCATAAGAAGAAACAATAGAAACACTGATGACACTGGAAGTATTCTCCGCAGAACTGCCCCAAAAATATAATGCTCTCGAGGGGTCACAGGATTTAACTCTGTGTCTTGGTTTTGGCATGGCAGCGTGAGCGCTGCAGAGCCCTTGGTTGGTGTGTGCCACGTGATGGAAGTTTGGCAGCATGATGGTTCTTGCAAGCTTCCATCTGTATCCAGCCAGGACCCTGCTCTGGACAACGTGGATGAACCTCCAGGACACAAAACTTTGCAGTGGCCAGTGGTTCTCCTCGTGCTGGTCCCTGGCCAATGTGTCTATGAGAACCCCCAGCTACTGATCTTCCCTCTTCAGGCCCAGGTGTAAGGGGCTGTGACCCATGGAGTAGTCCTTTATCTCCAGCAGTCCCACACTTCGGTCTGTGCTGCAGTGGCTGGGATGTTGGCTGAGAAATCTGCAGGGTCACAGGTAAACAAAGATGATGTTTTTGTTGGAAAACCAAAGATGACAGCCCACCCCAGAGCAGTAGGCCTGCTGGATCCCCATTTTCCGAGTGAAATTCGGAAGATTCGTAGGAGTAAGCACAAAAGAAACACCCTGTGGGGTTTCTGTGAAGTGCTGACCTCATCCAGCCACTGATTTGCGTGGGGATGGAGTGAATATACCAAATTCTTTTAAGACTTATGTCACTTAATTTGCCTTTAGTGCAGTCATATTGTCTTTGGAACAGCAACGCTCTCCAAAACCTGAGTCACAAATGGCCAATAAATCCTTGTATTCCTGTCATCACACTTTGAATTCCAGCCTGAAAAATTCAGACTGGTGTTTCAGAAATGTCACCAGCAATTGTCTCAGCATTTGTAACTTTTTTTTTTTCCTCACATCTGCCTCCTTCAGAACTGTCCCGTTCACCCAACCCCAAACTGCAAGCAGCACTAGCTGCCCTTAGAATGCATTCCTTAACTAACAACTTGTTTGCCACAAGAAATTAGCCCGGTTGTACTATGTGCTGCAAATGCATAGCATTATTTTTTTTCTGTGCTTTACAAACATTTGGTTTGCACAAAGGGCGGGACGGTGTATATCAAATAATTACAGAAACAAGTAGGAGTCTTGGGAACAGTCCAGTGCAGGGAATTCCAAATAGCTGATTAAAATCATTGTCAGATAGCAGGAGTCATCATGTACTTTATTTAATGCAGCTCTCCCACACAAATATTGCAGGATCAAACATCAGATTATCTGGAGAGCCAAATTCATTCAGGGCAGCAACAAAGCTGACACAGTGGTAGATCTGCCCTGGTATTGCTGAAATGTCTCTTCAGCTCTGTTTGGCAGAGTAAAATTCTCCAGCTCCACATGCAGCCGCTCACCACTAAAAAACTTGTCTGCAGATTAGCCTCCTGTCCTGTCATCTCCCCTCAGATGGAGAGATAAGCATTTGCAGAATATTTCTAAACATGTTTAATTATAATTCAATCTGGGAAGCTTGTTTAATGGATAATTAAACATCTGATGTAACGGATAATGGCATTTTAAACCAACAGTGTGCAATTACTGTTACATTCTCACTTACTTCAGCTGTGTGTCTCTGTGCAGAGCAGCTCCAGACATCTGCTGGGTTAAATAGTATGGTTACAGGGCCAGATCCACAACGGATTTGTGGCTCACATTGTGGCTCACATTGAAACCTATGAAAAGTTAGTGCAGCAATTGAGAACTTAAATATCTGAGCAAACGTTGCCTCAAGAAAGGTTAGTAAATGAATAGGGGAAAAATCAAATCATGAAAAGACATTTCCTGAGAAGATCCAAGCAGTTATGAGACTTAATTTTTGACAACTTGTTGCTGTATATCTCCTGAATCTCTCTTACCTTTCATTTGGATTGACTTGCAGTACTTCTGTGGTGACTTGAAATGTGAACAGCCTCACAGGAAGCATCAGGGTGCTGGTGCCAGGGAAAGGGAAGTACCAGAATGAATAACTGCCTTTAAAACCAAATGGTGCCCTGAAGTGTGGATCATCTCTAGGATCCCCTACCCAGATATGACGCTCCACAAACACAGCCCTCATGTGGAAGACAGAGGACTGTACCATTTCTGTAAAACCTGACTTGTCTCCATGGGTCACCCAAAATATCCTGTGGAAAGGCACTGTAGGTTGTTACTCTCCATGACCATGTTTTCTCATCAGATTTCTGCAAGGTTGTCAGTCAGGAAGATGTACAGGTGAGAGAGTAAGAGTCCCTGGGCATCCTTCCAGCTGGTTCCAACTACCTGTAAGAGTTCCCATTGCAGGGTCAGGGACCCATCTTACCTTGGGACCACAAAATATGGCAGTAGCTTCAAGAAATCTTTGTGTTCATACTTGAAAAAAATCAAGTTGGCCAGCTTAGGAGTAACTGCTGTCATAGGGTTCAACACAGTCACTTTTTTTTTCTGATGATTTCAGTGAAATATTTAAACATGCTGTTTGTCCACATCAAAGCTTAACCAAGAATGTAATTTATTCCGCTGAACGCTGAAGAGCTTACGGTGATTTTTGGTTTTGCAGGTTGCTTTGCTACCAAATAACGCTGCTGATCTTAGCAAGCAAATCACTGGTGAAAAAGTGCTTGCATCTAATGCATATATCCCTGGCCCCCCAGGCCAGCCTGGCCAGCAAGGCCCTCCAGGTAAGATACAGACCAGAGGGATCTGAATGTGCAGTAGTGCCATGAACAAAAATTATAACCCTCAATCTTTCAGTGTGATAGGATTTCACGTTTCCTATTTTGATTGTTACTATTATATTTGTGTTGTGCTAAATTTAAAAAGAAAAACTTTCTGGTCATTATGGTCAGCCTCTGCCAACTGTCTAACATCATCCATTTTGTCTTAGTCTCCATGTGTTTCTTGGCGTGCAGGCGGTGCTTGTTCCATTACATGTTAAATCTCTCCCACACCCTGGGATATCTCACCTGCTTCCGTTGTCATTTCCTGTATTTTAACTCTGTCTTAAAACATTCTCCATTTAATTTCAGGAATACCTATTGCTTTAGCTCACTGTAATTACTAGGGCAAAAAATGTGCTTTCAGTTTAAGGAGGTTTGTGCCAACTGTTTTATTTTTCCTCATCTGGTTTTGCAAGGATTCCTTTGTTCGTTTTATGTGTGGAATTCAAAGGAATCTGAGAAGAAAGCAAAATTCCACTCACACCTTCTATGTTAAGGTAGAGGTTGAAGTAATGAGAAAAGCAGAGAGTTCCTAAAGCTCTAACTTAAGCCAGACACCTTGCAACCTGCAGCCAGTGAGCTGAGAATTTTGCTAATTCTGTTGAATGCAGATATAATTTTGGCTTAGCCATAAATCCAAGGAATTTTAGCACTGGGCTGGGTTTCAGTAAGATCCTTACAGAGGACTAGCAGATATTCCTTACGAGGTTTGATTTACTCCTTACCGAACCGACCCCACAACCATCATTTATCCCTGCTTTCGCAGTCTTGCTATGTTTCTTGAGTCTTTACCTCATTTTCTTGGAGGATGTGTGTCTCCAGCCTGCATCATATCATAAGCACCAGGACAGCGTGGTTAGAGCTCTGTGCCAGGCTGAGCTGTGCGTAGGCTGCCTTGCCTCAAGCGTAGGGTTGACCCCGCGCGCCTTCCACATGGTTTCCCCATGGCTGAGCTGTCCAAGGTCCTGCAGAGCTGCCTGTTCCGCTCCAAACCCACCCCTGTCCACCCCTCCTCAGCAACGCTGCGGCTGGGTCTGCAGGAGTTCGAGAGGTTCATCTCTCAACTTGATTTTACTCCTTCTGAAAACCCTAACTGTAAATACCCTGTCCTGCTGAGCCCTTTTTACTCTCAGCCTTTCATTTCATGTCTTTCACACGTATGAAGAACAGTGCCTTTCCCCCTAGTTATGAAGCAATTCAGCTAGTGACACTTTAATAGTCTTTAATGTGTGCAACTGTTGTTTCAGTTGACTGATTTTCTGTTTTGCTTTTTACAATGTTTCTCTTGAGCTGAACATATGCTTTGTTGCCTATGTGCTTCCTAAAAAATACCATTCACTGCTGAACTAGCAGAAGCTGAAAAAGATAGAAAGCAAAATCATGGAATCATGGAATGGTTTGGGTTGGAATGGGCCCTAAAGACGATCCAGTTCCAACCCCCCTGCCATGGGCAGGGACACCTTCCACTAGGTCAGGCTGCTCAAAGCCTCATCCAGCCTGGCCTTGAACACTTCCAGGGATGGGGCATCCACAGCTTCTCTGGGCAACCTGTTCCAGTGCCTCACCACCCTCTCTGGGAAGAACTTCTTCCTGATATCCAATCTAAACCTCCCCACTTTCCATTTAAACCTGTTACCCCTTGTCCTGTCACTACAAGGCCTTGTAAAAAGTCCCCTCCTAGCTTTCTTCTAGGCCCCCTTCAGGTACTGGAAGGTGCTATAAGGTCTCCCTGGAGCTTTCTCTTCTCGAGGCTGAACAAGCCCAGTATGGAAGAACAGAGCCTTTTTGGCCCCTATAACATTGGCTACTGCACTGGGCAAAAGAGATGTGCAACCCACCCCTGAAAAGGGCTTGTTTCTGGGCCAGTCGTGTAGATGCCATCGAATCAACATTCCCATGAGTTTTCTGAGGATTTCTTTTTATGAGGTGTTTCTCAGATGTGACTTGTTCTTTTCTTCTTTGTGTGCAAATGAGGCATTTCTACTTTTATTTTCATTCCTAGTCTGTGTACCTAACCACCTGGCAGTGGCAGTCTTGGCTTCTTTGTATACACAAGGTTTAAATGTTTTGAGAAGATCTCTCGTAGCCACTGTGACTAGGAGTAATGTTGTCTCAGATGACCGCTGTCTTGGTTGTGTTGTTGTGGATTTGGGTGTGTTAAGGCAACCAGCTCACTGAGTGATTCAAAAAATGGTCATCCTCACAGCTTTACCTGAAGAAGTGTCTGGAAGGCTTTCCCTGGCAGGTAACCTTTGCTGTTGATTGCAGGGGCTCCAGGACCAAAAGGGAGTCAAGGAGTTCCTGGGTCACCTGGACCTCCTGGACAGCCAGGCCCTCGTGGATCAATGGGACCTATGGGCCCATCTCCAGACATATCACATATTAAGCAGGGCAGGCGGGGCCCCGTGGTCAGTATTCTCACCTCCCATCATGAATTGTGTAATTGATCCTAGCTCCATAACCTCTCACCTCCTCGTGAACACTCTCTTTTCTCTTGCAGGGCCCACCAGGAGCCCCGGGGAGAGATGGGAGCAAGGTGAGGGGAGCTACTGTTTTCCGTAACATGGGCACATGCACATATGAGGGCCAGGCTTGCTGGAGAGACCCTCCACACGCTTGCAGTCACTCTCTTCTACCACCTCATTTCCTTTGCTCATCTGAAAATGTCATGTCTTCCTATCCCTTTTTGTCTTCCTTCTGCTATTTTGTGTTTGCTATTCCTGAAGTCTTACAAATAGCCCTGCCAGGCTCTCTGTCAAGTGGCCTCCTTTCCTTTCTCTGCAGCTCTTCTGGCTTTTCCATGAAGAAATGTTGATGCTTTAGCCCACTCCATTACGCTGCTCTTGTGTGAATTGCTGGTGTTAACTGCTTTGCGTGTTACTGTCCAGGAGAAATTTCAGAAGTACCCAACTCTGCTCCCACTAGAATCAGCGGCAATTTCTTTGCCTTCCTCCTTCGCTTTCTTTTCTTGTCCCAAGCAAGTGTAAACTGATGATTCTTGATCTGGGGACAGTAAGTAAGGGAGTCTGCAGAGGCAGACTGTGATTCTTTTAGCTTCCTTTAGTCACAGCAAACTAACTGAGGTGGTACTGATTACAGGGGGAGCGAGGCGCACCAGGACCAAAGGGGATACCTGTAAGTATTGCTCGTGGGAAGAATTTCCACAACAGAGTGATGTTGACTACTAACAACAGGTCAGCCAAAAGGAAAAAAAAACCCTTTCCTGGGTCAAGACCACAGTGAAAGATACATTACATGCACAGAGGATGTTATTGGAAAGAAAGTAATTACCTTTTTTCATCCAAGTGTTTCTGCCTACACACCTTGTCCCTTGCCGAGCGTGACACCGAAGGCAGGAAGTACACCTCTGCCCTACCACAGCAGTGGGACAGCCTCAGAAGGCAGTAGCATGAAGTCTCATGCAGACTGCTCATTAGTACAGTTCAGCACTGCTCCTAATGGGAGTTGGATACCTGGAAACTTTTAAAATCCTGCCCCTCATCTCTTTCTAGCATTTGGGAAGCTATACGCTTTGATCAAATCATCAGGAGAAAGATGAGTATTTACAATCTGTTTTCAGGTGAAATTCTTTAAATATTTATTTATTTTTAACTGAGTGTGTTTACAAAAACATTTTTAAAGTGTTTTCTCATTGGTGGAATGGATTTTTAAGAATGTGTCAGTAGGTGTGTCCTTAGTATTAAACAGTCTGCTTTACTGTGTGAAATCAGCTGAAAAGAAATTATAGAATCACAGAATCATAAATAGTTTGGATTAGAAGGGACCTTACAGACCATCCAGTTCCAACCCCCCTGCCATGGGCAGGGACACCTTCCACTACAGCCGGTTGCTCGAAGTCCAACCCAGCCTGGCCTTGAACACTTCCAGGGATGGGGCATCCACAGCTTCTCTGGGCAACCTGTTCAGTGCCTCACCACCCTCTCCGGGAAGAATTTCTTCCTGACATCCAATCTAAATCTCCCTGATTTCAGTTTAAACCCATTACCCCTTGTCCTATCACTACAGACCCTTATAAAAACTCCCCCCCCCAGCTTCCTTGTAGCCCCTTCGGGCACTGGAAGGTGCTATAAGGTCTCCCTGGAGCCTTCTCTTCTCCAGGCTGAACACCCCCAACTCTCCCAGCCTGTCCCCATAGCAGAGGGGCTCCAGCCCTCGGAGTATCTTTGTGGCATCCTCTGGACTTGCTCCAGCCGGTCAAGTCCAGAGGCCCATCACGGTCTTCTAAAATCAGGTGAAAGCAGATGGATACTCTCTGCACTGTAATAACCATTATATTAGTAAGTGATGGACAGCAGCAGGGTTACCATATGGAAAATTCCAAATATCAGCATTCTTGAAGGGGGAAAAAATAAATACTGATTAATTAGTAAATCTGAAAATATTATTCATTAATAAGAAGGAACACAGGAAACAAAGATGTGTCTCCTGTATTCCCAAGAGGTGTTAAGATACTCCTAGGAGGCAGACATAGCGAAGGGATTGTTAAGTAACAAAAGGGCTGAGCATCTTGTACGTGTAAGCTCTGTCTGCAGAAATGTTTGTCTTCTTTTGAAAATTGTTTCCTGAGCAGGTGGATTCAAAAAGAGACTGTTAGCATTTGGCAGGTGATACGAAGCAGCATTTTACTGAGTTACTTGAGTTACATGAGGAACTATCTCAACCAAATCTGGTCAGGCACTGGAACAAGCTGCCCAGGGAAGCGGTGGAGTCACCATCCCTAGAGGTGTTCATGGCATGTGTAGACGTGGCGCTTGAGAACATGGTCTAGTGGGTAGGGTGGTGTTGGGTTGGTGGTCGGACTGGATGATCTTATAGGTCTTTTCCAACCTTCATGATTCTGTGATTGTGTGAAAATTGTAAGGGTGAGGTGGATTATTATTCATGACCATGCCTTGTGACTGCAGGGCCCACCAGGTTCATTTGATTTCCTGTTGCTGATGATGGCAGACATCAGGAACGACATCGCTGAGCTGCAAGAGAGGGTGTTTGGACACAGGACTCATTCATCAACAGAGGAGTTTCCATTACCTCAGGAATTTACAAACTATCATGACACAGTAGATTTTGGATCTGGAGAAGACTACAAACCACGGGCAGCACCCAGAGACTCCAGGATACGGAAAGCAGCCCATCCTTAGCTACGCCTGCTGAAAAATAGAGCCCCTTTAGAGCTGTTCAATATTAAAATGCACTGACAATGTGAAATATATATATATATTATTTCCCAGTTTTCTCTCTGCTTTTCCCCAATCATGCTGCCCATACTGTAGCTTTCCTGGTTCACAGTAGCCTCCTTGCAGTAAATCCATGCTGCCAAGCCTGACGTGCGTCATACCTCCTATCAAGAAGACCTTCTTAGTACGTAACACGATTAAGGCATGCTCATGGCGCAGACCACAGCATTTCATCTGCCTACCTTGCATTCTGGGTCCAAATGACCCAGTACACAGATTTTGGCGGGGGGAGCTGACCATCATCGCTGAGTGACATCAATAACAAAAACAGTCCACAGTGACTTTATACGTGTAAACGTATTATACCGCCGAACTCAAGTCTCCAGCTGCTGTCCCAGGCTTAGGAGAGTGTGAAAAGTGGATCCCTGTTTCACAGCAGAGGCCAGCTGTAAGTGAAATGTTTTCTTCTATCAATGCTGCAGCGTGGCAAAAAAAGATTAAAAAAAAAAAAACCAAACCACCATGAAGAAGCACTGATACAGGGGCGCTGCTTGTTGATCCGGAAATTATTTGGTCTTGTGTTACTAGAGTATCATTCAAAGAGCGTCAGAGAGATGTATTTGTCCTAAACTAACATCACTTTTCCATTACCATTCTCCCACTGCTCAGTGTGAAGGCCAGTTCCCTCCCTCAACAGATTCATGCTGGATACATTATACAAAAATGAACAAGAGAATTGGGGATATATAAAGCAGGAAAACCAAGCATAAATGAATCCAATCAGCTTACCGGCAAGCACAAAATCAATCCCAGCCTTCCAGAAAGAGTTGGACTCTGACCTCCTGTAGGTGCATGCCTTCCTCGGTGAAATGCTCAAGTCCAAGAGAGAAGAGAGAGCCCTCACGTTTGCAAAGAGCTTCCACCCGTTGGTTCTTCTGCTGCGTGAGAGCAACCTAGACGGCATTCTCGGAACTGGAACACGGAGTTGCGGTGCATGTGGCTGGGTATGTGAGGAGTATGAGTAGGTGCAGGCGTGCGCATGACAAAACAGGTCAGCTGGTACGAGGATGGCTCGGGTGAGGTACTGCACAGGGGATCCTACGCTCGTGAAGGGGGATGAAAGGGCGTGCCCTTTTTTTACACTGGAAAATTGGATGCACAAGTTAGACCATACCTCATGGATGATGTGTGTTACCATTTCTTTTGGATTACCCCAGCTGCTGAGGACTTTGCCATGCTTAGAAGATAAAGGAGTATATTAAGCACAAAGCTTCAATGTTGTATCTGTGTAGCTGCTACTTCTACAGTATGTTTAGTGCTGGGTCACGTCCACCTGAGGAACGCAAAGAAACACTTCTTGTTTTGCAATGTTTTTCAGGGCTTGCATGTTGGAATAGAATAAATACAGGTAAAAAATATAAGCAGGCCCTTTTCAGATAACCCATAGAGGTTTGAATTCCCTTCCATATTCTCTGGGCCAAAGGATGGTTGGTGTAAACCCTGCACCACTGGTACAGGTCATGTTGTATAAACGGCTGGCTGGCTGGAGCTTTCATGTATTATCTTAAGATAATGTTCATTCCTGTAACAGTTTCCCAACTCCTTGCTATCACTTTGCCACAGGCACGGGCATTAGCTTGAAGAACATCAACATTCTGTATTCCTCTTTGCGTTATATGTGCATATCGATATTGACAAAGCAATGGCTATGTCACTGGGATAGCTTAGAAAAAAGGTAGTACTCTCACCCCGTGGCCTTCGGGCTTCTCCTCTGGGATGAGCTCTCCCAGCAGCCCCAGATCTGAGTAGTCTTGTGAACCAGGTAATAAGGAAATCAGTGGGATTTGGAGAAGGAACTTGTGGCCAAAAGAGGCATTTTCTTGGAATCACAGCATCACAGAGTGGTTTGGGTTGCAAGGGACTTTACAGACCATCCAGTTCCAACCCCCCTGCCATGGGCAGGGACACCTTCCACTAGACCAGGCTGCTCAAAGCCTCATCCAGCCTGGCCTTGAACACTTCCAGGGATGGGGCATCCACAGCTCCTCTGGGCAGCAAGCCCAGAGTTCTTATACACTGCAGGCTGGAAAACACCCCTGAAGACAGCATGAACTGAGACATTTATGTCTTATTAATTCCAAGCAGGCAACTAGGTATAACTAACATCCTTCATGAATATGTAACTTTGAGTAAATTTGTTGCCTGTCAAATATTTTATTTGTAACTCTTGGAAACAATGTACCCCTTGCACGTATTTGCCGCCACACCCCTCCACCTGCTGGATCAGGTTGATTCCCACTATTGAATCAGTAGATGCAGTTTTTCTGACCAACAGATACTTAATAATGAGTTAGACCAGTCACTGCCTACACACCATCTAAATCTCATCGCCCGCTGCCCACAAGACGTGTTCTAAAAAAGGCACTTTTTTTTAGTTCTGAGCTCTGCTTTTCCAAATATAGACAAATATCAGATGAGAAGTGCCTGCAGTTTGACCATCAAATTCAGGGGTAGGTGACAACTGCCCTGCTGTGCCCAAGTACCCGGGGAAGGGAAATTCCGAGACTGGACCAGAAAGGAAGATAAAATACCTGCCTCACTGCCAGTACAGAAAGGTGTCCCACCAACTCACGAGTGCGGCACGTGTTTACGTGCCTCTCTGAATGGAAACCTCCACAACTTCCCTTTCTGGAGTCTGCACTGTTGGTTTCCACAGCCCAGAGCTGGGTTTTCCCGCAGCTGTGCTTACTCCATGAAAAAGGAGAAGGAAAGTGGTCCTAGGGCTTGTCCTTGTGCCTCACCCTCCTCTTCCCAGGCTCCCTGCCCCAAAGGTGTTGGCTGAGTCCCAGCAGCAAGGAAGAGGCTTGGTGATGAAGACAAGTCCACTCCAGGAGGCACAGGAATTCCTCCAGCAGGGAGGGCACAGCAGGCTGGTAAGGTCCTGCCTTCTGTCCGCGTCCTGCCCAGATCTTTGGAAAGGCCTCTCTCACATTATTTCTGCTGAACTGCGTGATGGCCTTCCTAACACACCGTATGAGAAGCGCTTCATTTAGGTTTCTGGATAAACTCACACAGACATTCAGAGAGAAAAGTGGCATTTTTTTCAGCATACCCCAAGTTTTATAAAGCCAGACCAGAGGAATCATTCCCAACTTTAAGCTTGGTTATGAGGGAGCCAGGGAAGTCATTACCTTGCAAATTATTTATTACTCTGCGGCCCCAAAACCAACAACCCCCGAAGAATCCAAAGCAAGAATGTAGAACCATCTAGGCTCATGCACGCGACAACTTTGTTTCATATAAATACTATGTATAATTTTATTAGAAAGAAATATTATTTTGATGTTAAGACATCGGGTTATAAGCAGAAGGATAATAAAGAGTTTGTTATTTTATTAATATTAGAAATATATTTAATGGAAACATTTGCAAGAGTGTGTAGTGACGGCAAAATGCTGATTGTTAATGGGTTTAACAAAATCGTAAGCCTTGGAAAACGTTTTCTTTCAACGCTGTGCCACATACGTACAGGATTAGCCTTTCTTGCAAAGCTGGAATACTGACATAGAGGAATTCCTATGTAGTCAGGCTAAACTGGGAAAAGGAGAGGAAAATGGATAGTAAATGGAATTAAGGTAATCCCTGGAGTTATTTTTGGTATCACAGCTTGAATAACCTTCTTCCTGAAGTATTTCAAAGTTAATACGTAAAGCCCCAGAAAAGCAACAGAAGACGGAGGTTGGGTCCAAGAATTTGTTAATTTCACATTAAAATCCGTATGTTTGTTTCTATTACACATTCCAGTAACTATACTGTTCACTTTATTTATATAAGTATATGAAATACTAAAATGTGTATAAAATGATTGTGATTTTATGCTGTATTCATAATAACAAAGATATTTTTTATTACCCTGTTGGTAGCTGCTTCTGTCACACGCCCTTTCTCGGAAATACGGAAACGTTGGCTGGAAGAGACAGGTAGCAGGAAAC